TTAATCTAATGCAAGAAATTAGCAATCAATAATTCAACGTTGTTTGTACCAACAGAACTACGGAAAACTACATTAAATACGTATTGGCAACTTAAGCTAAAAAAAAATGCACTGCAACTGCAATCAGCTGTGAGAGAAGGTGCCAGAAAGCGCGATGGATTCAATTTAGTCATTTTTGATTTGAAATCGATCTCAGTTCTTTGGACTAGGAGCGTAAATTACAGTGTAAAACCTATTGAAAGTTTACGTTTCTGCGTGAATTTTGATGCTGTTAGCATTGAAATACTTGAAAGTATCTCTGATGCAAGAAATACTGGCTAAATACATTTTAATTTAGAAATTAACATCAATCAAAATTACTGTTGTTCAGGCTTCAGGGCTATGTTGGTTCTTGCGAACCGATTGTTGCATCCAGTCGCTTATGTTGAAAATAAAATTATTTAAGCAAGTATTTCTTGCATCAGAGATAATTCAAAGTTTGTTAATGTTAACAGCATTATAATCCATGCAGAAACATACATTTTTTACATAGATATTAAAAATTTAGGCTCTATGACTTGTATACTATGCGTATAGGATTTCAAATCGATGCATGCATTCAAATTCAAATAAGGCCCACCCACGGCCAGTGTAGCTGTCAGCTCACCTCTCTTCAGAAGTGTGAAAGCTTTTGCTGGTGAAGGTGCGTTTTACGATCGGTCCGTAAAGAAGCATTGATCGGTTCAAAATGACATAAGACCAGGTTCTTTTGAATAACCTATAGAATTGCACCATGGCCCTAAGCGTCGCCGGGTAATTTTAAGATGCATCGCCGGGTAATTTTTAATGGAAAGCCATTTACGCTGAGTAATGAAAAACTATTTACAAGCCACGAACTTATTTACAAGGTTGCATGCACATGTTACCCCAAATAACTAATTTTACCCTAAAAACAGTCCGATTGTACTTTCGTACAGCAAGTGTCAACTGAACATGTGATAATGCCATCTGACCGCTCTAATGTGACCGCAACTATGTAATCGTAAGCTTGATGTTTAAATTTTTTTGGCGGGAACTCATCGCAACTGATTTCTGGACAAGCTTCACTGCATCCTGATCCATCTAACATATCGGAAACCTTACTTTTTTTAAATAGTTGGCCGAAGACTGACAAATATATTAAATGCAAGAATTTCAATCTAAATGTGTCAGCAAGATCTTCTAAAGACGTAAATTTTGCTACTGAAGCATCGCCAAAGATCTTGCAATATTCATCCACTCTCTGCACAGTGGGCTCTAATATCATATAATTTCAGTAGGTATGAAATCTTGTGGCTCGAATGTCATAAATTTTTGTTTGATTGAAAAATCGCGGTTTGCACTCAGAAACATGTCACTTCATAAAATTTTCAACTTCCGCAATCCACATTGCTTTACCGTTCCTGCCAAAATATCCTGCAGAAAAAACATGAACATCGTAATGTAAACAAATCAACTAGTAAACGTTTTGTTGAAGAATGAAGATCGTGCATAGTTGCGGACTTGCCGTCATGTCAAAGCGGTCAGGCTGCATTAACACGTGCTCAACTTACATCAAAGACAAATTTTATCTTTGCCATTTGACTGTTTTAGGGTAAAATTAGAGATTTGGGGTAACACGTGCATGGATTTTGCCATGGTGCGGAGGGTGGATGCAGCGTCGCCAATATATGGGTTTTTAAGCCCTAAGCGTCGTTGGGTAATTTTAAGATGCATCGCCGGGTAATTTTTAATGAAAAGCCATTTATGCTGAGGATTGAAAAACTATTTACAAGCCACGAACTTATTTACAAGGTTGCATGCACGTGTTGCCCCAAATAACTAATTTTACCCTAAAAACAGTCCAATTGTACAGCAAGTGTCAACTGAACATGTGATAATGCAGTCTGGCCACTCTAATGTGACCGCAACTACGTAATCGTAAACTTGATGTTTACATTTTTTTGGTGGGAACTCATCGCAACTGGTTTCTGGACAAGCTTCACTGCATACTGATCAATCCAACATACCGGAAACCTTACTTTTTTTTTAAATAGTTGGCCGAAGACTGACAAATATATTAAATGAAAGAATTTCAATCTAAATGTGTCGGCAAGATCTTCTGAAGGCATAAATTTTGCTACTGAAGCGTCGCCAAAGATCTTGCAATATTCATCCACTCTCTGCACAGTGGGGACTTTGTAAATAAATTTGCGCCTCGTAAATGGCTTCTCATGGCCGACTGCCAAGATAGGGAATTCACGGCTTGAAGAAATGAAATCACGGCTTGAAGAAATGAAATCACGGCTGGCAAATCCATAAAGCCAAGGCTCGAAAAATTCAGTCGCGGCTCACCAAGTAGATATATTCCATGCCTGGTTGCAGTCACATCAGAGTTGTCAGACTGCTCACTGCAGTAGGGTAAAGGATGTATATTCTGACATTTTAAGGACGTAACAAAAAATGAATGGCTATAAAAATACACTGTACGCACATCTCGAGTTATGTTAGCTTTACGTCACTCTCAAAACACCGCACTACGTGCCAGCAACAATGAAATGTTGCAAAATTGTCCATATTTATTTAAAAGCCTTTAGAATGCAAACCTACCAAATCTATATATTCCGACACAGTGCGACACTGTGTGTGACTAAATTTGGCATTTTGTGAATTCTGGCTGCGCTTCAAACTACTAATTCGTAATGCCGACACTCTTGTGTTCCAATTCCGATCGCTGTGTGAGCTGTATTGGAATACGGGACAGCTTGGAATTAGAACACTATTGAATATTGAACACTACTTGATTAGGCTTTTAATTAAGAGCTATTAAGCTTTTGATTAAGAAAATTTTAATTTTTGCACACAGCTTGGAACGAGCTGTGTGGGTCTAATTCCAAGCTGTGTCGGAATTATTTTTTACGTGTCTAAAACCGTCTCCTAACTTAATCATCTATTAATTTTTTTACCACTTGAAATCAGCAAATACAAGTATACTTAAAGGATTCCTAATATATTCACAGACATAGGTATTTAAAAATCTCAAACCATAATATTCTTTCTACACAGTTTATCACTATTTGGTAGAGCAAGGTCAACTATCAACTTGACACACTTTTCGATGTTCTCACTGGGTGAGGCGCACTGTCTCTCTTTGGATCTCAACATTTTCCTGCCAGACGGCCCAGACCTAGTGTTTTGGCAATAGTATGGTGCGCAAAAGTATGACGTCACGATTTCAACCATCAACAAATGCATGGAACTGAGAAAAAGCTTAATATAAAGGAAAAAAGTTGAGAAGTGTCGGAATTACCCACGATGTCGGAATATACCGCGTTTACCCTATCACATATTCAGTTGCCTCTTAAAAGTGAAGACAAATGTTTGTGTGGCTGCTTGACTGTTTTTGGGTAAAATTAGAGATATGGGGGTAACACATGCACAGGACTTTGTAAACAAGTTTGCGGTTTGTAAATGGCTATTCTGCAATATGGAATTCACGGCTCAAAAAAATGGAATCTTGGCTCAAAGAAATGGAATCACAGGTAGCAAACCCATAAACTATGGCACTAAAATTCCAGTGGCAGCATGCCAAGTAGATATGTTCCATGCCTGATGGAGAAGATGAACTGTTCTGACTTCTGAGTTGCTAACTCTGAGAATGAGATACCAGTAATTGATATTGCTATTGTTTTGCAAGTTTGAAGTTTGTAACTTAGGTGGCAGGCCAACCCAGTCTTTTCTTCAACAACACAATGTTTTTACTATGAGTATTTTATTACAAAATGGACATTTTTTTGTTCAGTGGTGTCTGGACTAGTGGACCATGGATGCTCTATCATGCTTCAAGCAGTTCAATGTATTTGATGTATTACCAATAACCAATTACCAACTATCTTATCAATTTTATGACTACCTACTAATTGTCTCTCCACACTAACACTTAGTAGTGGAGAGACAATTAGAAGGATGGAATGAAGGAAGTTTACTCATAAAAAAGGTTTTCACCCAAGGCAGAAAGCTTTCCTTAGATACAGCACAGTCAGCACTCTGCCAGGTGACTGACTATAAAGGAAAAAGAAAAATCAAAAGTGGACAAACTTTCAATTGTATAGTATGTCAGATTTAGTATAGAATTGTTTAGTTGTCACTTGTTTGATTGAAATTTTAATCTTTTTTTATAAGTTATGGACGTTTTTCTTAATTTTCAGTCCCTTTGTTTGTAATGAATAATGATTGAGTTGAAGTCAAGTTAATCTAAGTATTAAATTAACCAGTACTGTAGTGCATATATCATATTTGGGGGCATCTGGGGCAGGGCTTTTGGGCACAACCTATCACAGATCTTTACAATCCCATCAACTAATCACAGCTGGAAAGGGGATGTCATTACAATTCCATCAACCAATCACAGCTGGAAAGAGCTTAACATCACAATCCCATTGGCCAATTACAGCTGGAAAGGGATAGGATACCTATGTAGGTAAATTATGGACTGAAAGTATAAAGTTCCTGGTCTTTCCAAGCTTTCAGGTCCTGCTTTTCAATATGCCATCTGTACTGGTTAATTTAATATCCCTCTAGAATTCTACACTAAGTAACAGTAAGACTAATAATAATATAATAATAGCGGTTTCTGCATTTATTAGGTCATTTGACAGTAACTAACAAAAGCAATAAAGATATATATTTTATATTATTATTACATGACTATTTGTATTGCACAAAGGCAAGCGCTAAAAATTATTGACCAAGTCAACCTGTTAATAGTCCAAGTCACCTCAAATTATGATACTATATAATATATGAATTGGGAATTCTGCCACCCCAATAGTCTTGAAAAATGGAACCACTCAAATGGGGGTGGGACAGTGGGTGGCCTAGTCTTGGTTGGGGCTTGGAAAGTTGATGTATTCCATGCCTAGGCTCTAAGATGTTTCTAAAACTTGATTTATTAGTAATAGGTATGTTAATGTTATGCCTGTGGCCTTGGCTGTAGCATGTGATTAAAATATTTTATACTTATATGGTAATTGCCTTGCAGAAAGAAAAGATTTTCTCCAATAGTGGACCATGGCTCAATCAGTGCATCGAGCTTCTGGCCTCAAGCAGCAAAACAAAAAGCATAATAAGCTTGGTCATAAAACCAAGGGACAGATCAAGTCTTTGAGTCAGGGTGAGTTTGTTATATACCTACTAATTGCAATTTAATAATTGTTTCTTAATGATTACTTCTGTTTTGCCATCAAATGCTGTCAGACTGTCTGCAAATTCTTTATAATAGTGGTTTAGTTTTGATCTTAAACTTTTTTATTTAGACTTTTTGCAAGCATTCATGTTCTTAGTGGATTATTAAAGCATCAAGGTTGTAAATTCCTTGCCTATTAGTGTGATATGCTGTTTTATTTGATTTAAGATTATATTTGCAGTCCACTAATTCTTGGTTCATATTTTAAAAGAGTTAACAGGAATTGAGCAAAATTTGTGAAGTCTAAGTTTAAGTTTGGACTAGCTAATATGTACCCGGTATGTAAATTTCTCACTGGAGGTCATGATTGTAAGGGTTTACTCCTGAGTTTAATTTTGAGATTACTCCTATTGGAACTCGAATTGTATATCCTCATAATAACTGCAGTTGATTAAGTGATGAAAAATGGCTTGCCTCAATTTTGAAATGGTAGTATTTTTATATTTTGCTTCACATAAGTTGTAGTTCTGGCTTGTCCCCAGTAGGGAATCTCAGTCTCTCATGGTATTTTTTCTGAACCCATAGTATTGCTTGTCTAAATCTTTTGGCAGGTCTTGGGTTAGCTTTCATTTATATTGGCAGTACCTAGGTATTTGATTTTGATATAATTTTTTATGCAGTAATAATCAATTCTAGATTTTTGTATCTGGAATGCTAATGCTGCACCATTCTATCCAATTTCAGCATACCTTACTAGTCCTCCTGCTACCTAGTTCTGTACCTATTAGGCTATTGCCTCATTTCTAAGATTAAGTAATAATTATACTGACAGGTATTCTCAAATTACAATGAAATTTGATTTTCCAATCCACTAAGAAACTTCTGATCTTTTAGGTTGTAACTTTTTCTCACATTCATGAAGCTCTACAGCTTTTTGTTATAGAGTATGATCATGAACTACATTTCAGGTCGCCTGAGCATTCAGTCTGTGAGTCGCAAAGCCAAGCATGACCTGAGTCGAGTTGAGCGCCGCAATCAAGTCAAGGTCATCAGGGCTGATAAGAAAGAGAAGAATCTAATGAAGAAGAGGAAACTGGGAACAGGTGAAGCATCAAGTTCTACAAAAGAATTGTAGTAACTTGCTGATTGGAAATGAGCCATTTTCTCATTCTGATTTTCTATGCCAGAAAAGCATCACATTTAAAAAAATGTTACATTTTTGAATTTTAATATATGATAAGGCACCATAGGTACATTAAATTCTATTTTTTCTTGTGTCTTTTAATCCTTTTAAGGAGAATATAATCAAATTTTCTTACATGTTTAGAGAGCCAACCACCTTTCTTGGTGTGTGTGTTGCTGCTGGACCCATCCCTGCAGCAGGAGGCAGTGCTAGCTGCTCTCAGGGCTGCTGACGCTCAGAGTGTGGTGACAGTCAGTGAGCAAAACATCACACACGTCAGGTGAGATGTTGATGAGATGATCACACAAAACATCACACACTAGCTCCTCATAGTGTATATCAATCGAATGATAAAAACAAAACTGCCTGATTACTTCTATAATTTTCTATATACCATTTGGCTTGGATGATCATTAAGAAGTAAATTTCCGCATATTCTACAGCTTAAATAGAATGGACTCTAATAAACTTCCTGGTATAATAATGTACCAATGAAAATATTTCATTATGAAACTTCATTATTAATACCCATTAACAAAAAATTGGTGTTGAGATATAATAAGTGAATTTTCATTTCTGTGCGAAACAACAAAATTTCTTCATAAACGCACCATAATTTTCCTCATATTTTGGCGTTGAGTTAAATTCTGGGATTTTTTTACAGCTTGTTGCTGTATTTGAGATGTTATTGTTGGCCTATTATTGCTACTTCTAACACCTATCATTGTTAATTCAAGTTTTAAATTCTGTGCTACCAAGATTTGTCAATATATCAATAGTAGATGTTACTGAATCCTAATTTTGATTTTACTCTCCTAGGATTATTTCTCAGTTCATGACTTCGCCTCTTTCTCTCTGAGCAAGCAAATGCCAGCTTCATCAAATTTCTCAGGAGTATTTGACTACTTTTTTTTACTATATGCCATATGCGTCATAGAATGCATTTAGTCAGAAGGTTTTGCACGTCATTCTGATGATAGAACCAAGCTTGACCAGCATTGTTGTCGAGAGCCCAACTACGGCCGCTCTCCTGCACTGCGCTTTTGTGATAGTTTCACTTTGATCGCTGATGTTCTTAGTATTATTTTTTGTTTCAATTCGTGAAGAATTTGATGCTAATTAGGAATTTTTGTTCACAGCTGCACGCGCTTCAAGCAAAGATTTGCATTCGTCGTTCCTAAGTGTGATGACCTCTACTCCATCTTGGACACAGTCAAGGTCAGTATAGGTGCTGTGGAAAGGTGCAAGAAAAGAATGTTTAGTTGATAATATTAATTTATCAACGCTGTTATTATAGTTATTGTTCTGATATTTATTGGATTAAAATGAAAGTTTTTGGTTAGTCTAATGAAATCAAATTTACTAACAACCCTGCTTGTAGCAAGTTTACTTTGTACATTCCATCTCACCGTTTGGTTATTCTGAACGAGCTGCGTGCGTCCTCGACCTTTGTTGTATTGGAATTGGAGGGACTTCTTTATCATAGCAGAATGCTTAAACTGAGACTCCACTGTAAGGCGTGTCTTCCCTAGCCCATGATGAATCATCTGATGAATAAATTCACGAGTAGGTATGCATTAAATTTTCACTTCAATTGAGAATAAATTTTTTATTGTTTTTATTCAATATGCTGGCTTGAAACGTAGTGTTGTTGGATATGATCTGTTGACGACATAGCTGCTTGAACTAAATGACCATATAGGTAAGAGTAGGAAAAGGCCCGTGGTTGCTCCCTTTCAGCTGTAATGCCAATTCCGGAATAACATCAACTATTTACAGACCTAAAACACATCAAATTTAAAATTCTTGGTATCAAGTAATTGAAACACTTAAGAGTTTGCCAGTATGGTGGTTGCTGATCATATCGATGCAAGAAACTTGGAACTTGCCATGCCTTATTATTACTACTACCACTGGTACTACTACCATACCGTTACTACTTGTACAGTACTTGTGGTGCAGGTGTGCACTACTCTTCTGCTGGTGTGGCCGTGCAGCACGGATGAGGACCTGCACCTGGGGGAGGACCAGCAGCGGGTGCTGTCCGCCGTCAAGGCCCAGGGGCTGCCCACGCCCGTCCACGCCGCCCTGGGTTATCACGACCTTGCACATAAGGTGCCTCAGAAGTCCGCTCTCTTTCCTGAATCTAATCTGCGCGCTTTAAAATCTTCCTACATGATTCAGAGTTGTTCTAATTAGCTATAGTTTTCATCAAGATCGATCAGGTTCTCTCCAGGTAGCTTGAAACTATTGCTGACAATAGACTTCAACATTTATTCCAGAATTCAGCTGATAACTAATAATTACTCACTCGTATGGAGTTTGAGTCATCTCAATGGCAAATATTTTTAATGCGTCGACGCAGGGCGAACCCACGACAGCAGACAGTCTGTCATCTGCTCTGAGCCAAAGTCTGAGTCTGAGTGGCTCTGTTGCTCTGACTTCAGAACAGCCACGACATGCCTCATCCAGAGTAACTTTGTTCTGCTTGGTTTGCTATTTTTGCTCCTTGCTAACCAACCTATGTGTTATTATGTATAATGCTAGTGCCTTTCTCTTGTGGATGTGATGCAAGAAAAATAATTGCAAAATGTTATTGGTTACGGACTTTTATCTTACACGGAATCAGTTCTTTTTTGAGTCAAAGAAAAGGAATGACTGTAACCTCGATGTTTTTGCTCCTAGTCATATTCAAACCAAACTTTAAGTAAATGCTAACTGGCGGAATGTGTGCCTTCACAGAAAGAAGATGGAGGCAATTTTACCTTAAATTTGAAAGATTTTTACATGAAATTTACTATTACCAAAGAACTTGTCTCAAATATTTTAAGATTAGTCAAAAGCATTGATCTCGCGTATCAATGAAGGTTTTCGGATATGGTGTTGCAATTAGGCTTTCATCATTTTATTCTCTGAGTGCGTATGATCTTGAGCTCCTAACATATATCAAATTTAATTACATGTTAAGGTTAAATTTTCAAACATTATTAACTGCTCTAAGTTGAACCTACAATCGAAATCGAAATATTTTGTTTGGGATGTGTGTGAATGTCTTTGGCTGACCTTTTGTAGCTGTGTTCTGTACTTAATCCCCCATACTGTGCAACCATTGTTCTTCTGTGCCGTGTGATTTGTTATTATTGTAATTAGTCATGTCTTCAGCATCCTTGTTTATACTAAATTGTTTGGGGGCTTGCCATATATACGTATATGCTGTGTAATATAGCTACTAAATACTGTATTAATGACTATATTCGAGCTTCTACTATATCATCAAGAAATCTAGACATTGCTAATGCTAACATTGTGACTGCTAACAATTTCATAAAAATCCATGCGTGGGATAATTTAAAGGGCGAGATAAAAGCGCTTACAAAAATCATTTTGGTAAGTGCTTCCTCGCAAGCGTCTTGTGTTGTACGAATCCTTCTCCTTGAGTAGAAATATTTAATTAGTCAGGTGGTGCTTAATACTACCGCCTAACGCAAGCAATTCATCGATTTTAGTTTTCTAGTAAAAACAGTATACTAGTTCTAGAGAACCTACATATAGTCCTAAATAAAGCAAATGCCAACTTGTAAACTGCTGAGAAACCTGTTAGTGAGGGTGCTTTTTGAACTGCTAGCGAACGCTCCAATACGCGCTGGTATCATAAATCATGTACAGCAATAGATGAATGATCTCTTGGTTATCTTGTTCAGAGTAATTTGCAGTGTTTTTTTATTAATATTCTTCATATGTTTACTGAGACTTCTTAAAGGTCAAGTACACGCACAAAAATTGCATCAATCAAGTGCGTGCACAACCTTTGCATTGATATGTATGACTGTTCCGCGCACCAACCGATAACTTGCAAATAAAAGTGCTTATGATGTGCGTTCTTGCAGCGAGCAGCACGGTGCATGCAGCAACTGATGCAGGAAGTTCGTCAATATTTTCCTGGCGATGACAAAGCAAAAGTGCATCTGCTGGAGAAGCCTGGCGATGCACTCCTATGCCTCAGACAGGTAAAGTGTGTGCAGTGCAGACAGTAAGATATCCGTTTACACAATATTGTTTCCTATGAACTAAATTGATGGTTCCCCCCTATCATCATCAAATTCATGATGATTTAAACATTTATCTGTGGTTAAATGGTTAAATTCTTGAGCCGAATATATGATTCTGTGCCGGTTATATGATTCAATTACAAAAAACATGGCTTATTTTGGCGTGTATTTTGGGTCTTGTTTACTTGTTACGTCATGATGCTTTGATAGAGGCTATAGTGATAAACTTTTTATTGTAACGCACAAAGAGCGCCAAATATATTTGTATAAACCATTTTTAATGATCGACCTCTGATTGCATGTTGAATTTCTATTTGCAATGTGTAAGTTGAAATATGTTTTCTGCTGATTTTACTAAATTATACTTGAAAAAAAAGACGTAGTGACTCGTGATCATAATTATACGTAAATAAAATTGTGATTGAAAATGATCTCGAGTTGCTTGCCAAGTTGGAGCAGGTCTAGGATCTAAAAGCAACCAAAAATTCCCCGAACGAGGATTCCACCCTGCACTACTTAACGGGTTTATTATTCGGCGAATAACAGTATCATTTTGAGACATTCCATGGATCTATTTAAATATATTTAGAGCATCTCAGCGATTTCTCTCGATGCTACTTTCGCTCAATTCTGTGGTCTTTCATCTTGATAATGAAACTGTATTGCGGGGTAATTATTCATGCAGTTATGAGAAGGTTACTGAAGTTAATGTGAGTGTTGATCCGTTACGATGTTGTACAGATTGGGTCCCAAAAGCAGCGTGCACTGTTCTACCGGGACCATAGACCTCATCTCCTGGCAGACCAGCTCAGCTTCCATACAAATGTACGTACATGAGTCAAATTATGGAATGAGTTTAGAAATTTTCATATTTAAAGTAGGATTTTCATCTTATAAATAGCGATACATATTAACTAAATGACTGGTGCGCCTTTCGTTAGTCCAATTTTGATTGCAAATACTTATCATAGCTTCGTTGTTAATATTAAAACATCCAACACCAAATTCAAATACATTGCTGACCTAACTTCGACCAATTTAAAGAAAATTGACATGAAATTGATTATGTTGAGTCAAAATTTATTTTGAGAATTATTTATTGTTATTCTGAGAGAGATAAGATGAGAGATGTAATATTATTTAAATATTCATCACTAAATTACTGTGTATTTGTTTCATATACTGTTCTTCACCAACTTCCCCGCCCATTAACTTAAATTTATCTGCTTAATTTCTTTACATTTGGAGACGTTTAAATTAATTATTTAACTATTTCGTAGTGTCCGTTTCGACCCAGAAATAATCTCCAGCTACTAGGTATTTATTTCCTTCTTCAGGTCGATAGTGGAAGTACAGGTACGCTCGCCGTGACAGGGTTCCTTCGAGGGGCAAGCCTTTCTCCCAACGACCTTGTCCACTTGCCGGGCTGGGGGGACTACCAGCTCCTGAAGGTGGTAGAGCACTCGTCTGACCCTCACCCTCTTATCTTGGGAGGCTCGAGGAAGGCGAATGTCGCCACCAAAGCAGACGACATTGTCTACCGCCCCGACCACAATCAGTGTAGCCTGGCTGCCACCAGAGATGTTAGTGCTAATTATCAACTAGCACTTGGAAGTACATAATCATTTGCCGTTGAAATTCTCTTTCAAATTTAATGTAAAGTGATGTTGAAGAAGAGTGATGTTGTTGTATGTACTTTTTTTAGTTTAAATTTCTTTTTTTTTCTGCGATGTTACCGTCATACCTGCTCGTTTTCTTCGACGTTACTCAGTACCTAGATCAAGACGGATTTAAGAATTAACCTTATGAAGTATTGTCTAATTTTATTCGTCAATTAACATTCTGGTTTTCACTTCCTGTAAAGACTTCCGGAACTCCTATTCAGCTAGGTTTTAGCTGACTGTAATAGGGGTAACTCTCAGATTTTATTTCGAACTTGCATCGCTAATTGCGTCTTGTTTGAAGATGGTGCGTCGGATCTGGACACAACTTGAACGATTGATGATTGATCAATTTCTATTATGTTCCGTAGCATTCATATCATTTCTGCATTCTGAAAGCTTAAACCAACATGATGATGATATCTCTTGTTCGGCATGTGATACAAAAGATTTGAAACTTGTATCAATACACAAAAATGGAACAAATATTTTTATTGGAGAATTTTATATCTATGCAATCAGTACCTAAATGTTTGATCATCTCGTTCTTAGTATGGCTAAACTACCACACTGGTGGCAATATTTTGACTAAGAGTACGAGTTTGAGTTCGACACGAGTTTTATTTTCTATCCTAAAAAATGGCTATGGTTTTATGTGTCAGAGTCATGAATACCGATTGGCTAATTTATTAAAATTTCAGGACGTGAAAGGCGAAGAGAGCAGCAGTGACGACAGCGGGCAGGAGAGTGACGGAGAAGACAGCGACGATGGGGCGAGCAGCGTGACGGCCAGGAGCCTGAAGAGCCTGACGGCGGTGCCCATAAAGAAGGACCGCATACCTGGTGCCTACTGCGCCAAGTCCGACTATCAGGCTGCGTGGATGATTGATAATGAAGCCTTCAAGCAGGGTGCGTTTGGAGACATGAGACACGTTATTAGCGTTGAATCTACAATCCTGTCTATGGGAGCTGCTTTATGTGGGGTGTATGTTACAGGCAAGTCGCCAATGCATGTAGCGAGACACAATTAATCAAACTGGTTATTACTGGACTCGTAGCTAATGTCTACATAGAGGCATGTGTATGCAATGTAGTCTCTATACCAGATTTCTTCATCAATCTGGAGCTCATGTCATCAATGTAATGTAAATATCAAAATTAAACATAGACGGAGTACTATCAGATTCAAGATTTTTTGGTAAGACAAGGCTATCATAGCTGAAAGATTAAGTAGCATTGAACTTTGAACAATATGTATCCAAAACTTGAAAATTCTACTAGATCACCAGTTACTAATTTCAAAATGATACGAGAGTGACGTCTTTAGTGAGTGACGCACTTGGGTAGTTTCTTATTTTCCCAAGAACTTTAGCACCTGGATAATTGACTTTCATTGCACATCAGATACTGCTTGGTCTAACCTATCACTCGTCATCCATACATTGCCACATGATCTGAAGCGCTAGAAACCTCTCCCCTACTACTACTACTACTTGCCACACATTCACACCAAACATGAGGGTGTCGACAAAGACGCTTTATCGAGAATGTACCGTTTGCTTATTTAGACTTAGTAACTCCATTTTATGCATCTCAGAAAAAATATTGTTGGAGTCTTCCCGAATTAGAGGCTTCTGACTGCTTCATAGCCTTTCTTCATCATAGTGGAGCCCTCGGCCTTCGTGCAGAGACTGAGGAGCTTCACTTTATTAAAGAAGAGATTTCAAGTATAGTTCCTCGTAAGAACCAACCAGATGCTAGGATACCTCTCCAGTCAATGTATATCAATGTCCTGATGATGTTTACTGAACACACGAATCGTTAATTTCAATGTAGCATGATACCTGTGCTTGCCTTGATCAGACAGGCAGATCATTTCAATAACTTCTTAACCTATCAGGCCGCTTTTCTTCTTTTTGGTTTGCTGAGACTTCCCGAGTCGTAGAAAAGTGAACAGCTAAACAGCACATGTACACTAGCCTTCCTGCATGAGTGCAAGTTGACTCTCCACGCCCAATGAGGCATTCTGCGCAAACTAGATTCATTTGAAAGACTATTAGGTAGCGCTTTTAAATTGCCAACTTTCTTATTTAATTAGTGCAATTTACTTATTCATTAAAATAATTTTTGAAGATTTCATTAAGCTTCATTTTGCTGTCGAAATGATAGGCGATTGTAGAGAGAATTAATTGTAGTGTTTTTGGCAGACTTCGGTGGTTGCAGTGACGAGGAAGAGTCTGATGACTCAGAGGACGAGTTTCAACCTCCAGACGCTCGATCTGACGACGAAGAAAGCATGGTCGCCCCCGACGACGACGATAGGTACTATTCTGCATTCACTGTGACAATTAAGAGATCAAAACACAACCCGCAATGAAAGAGTAGTCCTGCCCCTAGATAAGCCTTAATCGGCGAGTACGATACACTCGAGCCTTGTCTCTTCTTGCCTGTGCTCTAGTTTGGTCGACTTATTAGGTCGGCGACGTCATTCAAATTCCTGTCCACCACGGCATTATATCGCATCTGCCATGCCATTTACCGTCCGTTTGTTCACTTGTAAAAATCCATTTGAACTTTCCACTATGATAATCAAATTATTTTGAACCCTATTTATGCAGCAACATTTTCTTCCATTGATTGTTGATAACTTACTATTGAACTTGCATTGCACCCACGCCACTTTATGCCATTCGCTTAAATTATTTCGTCATGAGCGATCTTTCAATATTTGTTACAGTAACTCTAAAAACGAATATTTTAAGCTGTCTCCACAGCAATTAATGCCAGGTTTGTTACTAACATAACCTGCAATGAGCAGTATGTCGGTGGTGAGCAGCTCCGAGTATGGAGAAGATGCCTACGACGATAAAATGGACTATCAGCGAGAGATGGACGAATACCAAAGGATGAAAGGTCAGTCGTGTTACAAAGAGATCATATACGCGTTCAGTTGAGTGCGCCGCATGAGCTCAATAAACTAAATGCTTTGTTTCATTTAATTAAAATAATACATAAAAGTGTAGTTGAAGTATAAAGAATCGTTTTGCAAGGACAATAAAGCGTCTTGAGACCTAGCAGTTGCATTTCTCTCAGGGATTAAAACGAAGTAAAAGAGATCATTTGACTCATTCTCCTGGTATTATTGACTTCTCCGGAACAGATATGAGGGAAGACCTCGAGTTTCCTGATGAAGTGGACACCCCGCGTGACATACCAGCACGAGAGCGCTTCATTAAGTACCGGGGTCTGGAGTCTTTCAGATCCTCACCTTGGGACCTCAATGAGAACCTGCCAGAAGACTACAGCAAAATATTCCACATCCCCCGCTTTGAACATTATAGGAAACGTGTTCTTGCTGACGCTAAGCTCAAAGACAACGCTGTCGAGGTTTGTTTATTCGGTACACGAGCATATGCTCTACAGGATGTCACTATGATGTAAGAATATGCAACAAAAACCTTTGAAAGATTACACCCGCCCTCTCAAAACTATTTATTTATAAGCAATTGGTCAAACATGTGTTGCACTAGCTTTAAAAAAAAATGTATACTGTAAATTGTTTTTAACGCAATCTATCTGGTTGGTGGCTCTGCCAATATAGTACTTTCTCTGTAGGGTCTCGGTCTGTAGCATATTTTATGTGCTGCCAGCGAACCCAAAAATTTGATGGCTGGGTTAAGTTCTACCACGTTGTGTCAATTTGTGTCCTATATTCTTCTTTCTCATCATCAGTGTGGCCGGTACGTAACTGTGTACATAAAGGAGGTTCCAACACACGCCTTCGAGGAGCACAAGGTCACTGGAAGTCCTTTGGTCCTCTTTGGGCTGTTGTTGCACGAGGCTAAGATGTCTCTCGTAAACTTGGTGCTCAAGTCTCATCCTGTTGGTCACACGCGCCCTATCAAGTCCAAAGACCGACTCATCTTCCATGTCGGCTTCAGGCGATACATTAACCAACCCATCTTCAGTGACCACACCGCCGGTGATAAGCAGAAAGTGGGTATAACTGAGTTTGAATGTATGAAGGCATTTGTCAAGTTTTAATAAATGATGTCGAAAGTGTTAATGAATGGGAACGAAGGCAAGGCACTCATGAAGTGGAAATTACCTGATATACGGGAGGGATAGTAAGTTAGTTCACTTTGGGCATTATCACTCTGGTTGTATTTATGAGAATTAAATATCCTGCTGGAAATAAATGACAAGAATTTTAGTTTCGGTAAGGAATTTCAGGGTTGGCATGATATTGCCCTTTTAATCTAAGTGCCCCGTGCACACGATGTAGCAAAGATTAAATATATTTGACGACTTTACGACTAATGTTGTCCGAAATCTGGCAGTTTTGCCGCTACTTTCATCCCGGCATGACTGTGGTGGCATCGATGTACGCTCCTGTCACCTTCCCTCCCGCTTCCGTGCTGGCTTTCCGTCAACTGTCTGGCAACAGACAAGAACTCGTCGCCACGGGCTCTGTTTACACAGTCAACGCGGACAGATGCGTTCTCAAGCGGATTATCTTGTCTGGCCATCCTTTCAAAGTACGTTTATCGCAGAATTCAATATTGGACTAGCTTTTTGTTTAAAAAATTTGTGTTTGCAGTATTAAATGTGTTTCTATCGTTAGTATATGAAATAATTCTACAATAGAGAAGCAGTTAAAAATTCTCGAACGAAGTTTTTCGAGCCAAAAAATGTCATTGTTGAGCGTAGCTATATTTTATGATAGATTTTGAAATGTATTATGGATATTTTATCAGATCCACAAACGATCGGTGGTGGTACGCTACATGTTCTTCGACCGCGATGACATCAACTGGTTCAAGCCTATTGAACTCAGAACTAAGTGGGGCAGGAAAGGCAACATTAAAGAAGCCCTAGGTGGGTATTTTTTTCTGACCATATATTTGTTATACTAGTTATGCTAGAACGACTGTTATGAACATAGATTATTTGTTGTAATAGAGACAATTAGTAGAGGATTAGGTTTGGGAATGGAAATTTTTGAACAAAATAATAGTTTTAACGAGTTTGGTAGGTGAATGGGGGTAGGTTCTTTTATTTCGTGTGCAAGACAAAGAAAAGAGGAAAAATTCTTCAAATTTGTTAGATATCACATGTATAGAAATTAATATTTTTTTCAGGTACACATGGTCACATGAAGTGTATGTTCAACGGCACGCTGAAGTCGCAAGATACAATTCTACTCCATCTTTACAAACGAGTATTCCCCAAGTGGACGTACAACCCCAGTGTGCCCAGGGGGGAACCATTATACACTTCTGGCGTGTACCCGCTGGAGAATAAGTCGGATGTCAACAGTGACGACGAGGAAGACTGTGGCAAGAGGAGGAAGATAGAGAAAGAACTCCAAGATAAATACCTCATGCCGCCACCAAGCAAGAAACAAAGGAAAGTTCGCTTCAGTTGATGTTATAAAATGTTAAATGAATATATTATTTATTCAAGAGGGAACAGCGATTTTATTTTTCCGTTATTGGCAACGAAATGATAAAGTAACTTTATAGCCATTGATAATACTAATAATCACAGTCATTCTTTCTTCGACGCAAATTATACTTGAATTTATGTTCATTATCTAATGCTTTCCTGTCTGTCTTCAAACTTGCATTTGTATTAACAGATTTTTTACATAAATTTGCATTATCAAGTAGCCGTACGGCACGTGAAAGTGCCTGCGAATCGTGCGATTTTTCACCTATGAACTTCTTAGCGCGACTATTCACAATAATTTCAAATTCATGGCCACTATTGGAAATGTCCGCATTGCATTGCACACCTCTAAAATTGTCTTTCATCGCTTGACGTTTTTCATTAGTTGGTGGTGGAATGGCTCTCGATGATGCGTTGGTCTTTACGAGCTTAGAACTCAGGGTGGCCGGCACTGGAAAGTCCGGCGCCTTGTCGATATTCTGGAACACGAGATCACGTAGTCCTTACCTTGTTCCGTATCGTTAAAATAAATGGTACTATCGAAAGATGTAGCTTGCCTTCGGTGAATGCGCGGCATGTATTATTAAAATTTCATCATGGTAAAGTGCAGCACAATACATGAGCAAAATATGATAGTTCTATAAATATGCTGCGTTTGTTAACGGCTTAACGTAATATATTGAGGTACTATACAAACTTTTAAATCGGGAAACTCACATTTGAGGGCCTAAAGATGTCACATAGAGCAAGAATCAGAGCCTGCAATGTCACCAATAGAACCATGAAGCCTCCCGCTAGCAGTCCACCTTGCTCCATGTATCTGTCAGATAAGGAGTTACATCACTCGCAAAGTATGCTTTTTTCTTCATTAACTAATCGGAATTAGAGACAAGTGTTGGAAACGTGACATTATCCAGTGCTGCGTGTGACTCAAATTAGTTTTTCATTGACGAATTGAAATGTATCCACCTGTTAATTCTGTTGCGCAGCAGGGGGCGTGGTTGTTGCTCGTCCCACATGGCGCTGCAATAAACGCGTTCGGTTCGTAGGGCGACATCGGGCCAGCTGTAAAGGCCACGCATCAGCCGGTGCTGCTCCTCAGGAGACATTCTCGTGCCCGCCATTTCACGCTCAATGGCGCCTTCTAATGCATTGCATAGACCTGAGGATTATGGAAGTTGTAAGGATGTGTAGGTGGGGGGGCACCTTGTGATCTTTTGGGTGTAACATCGGAACTGTGTGTGGTGGAGAGATGTTGCACCCAAGAGGTGCTTCAGAGTGGGAACAGACTGCAGTTCAGTTTGGGGACAAATTATTTTGTTCGGCGTTAGAAGAGAAATTGTAGTTAAGCGTAGGAAGTGAGTGCGGATTAGCTTGAGAACGGTTACGGATTGATCTTCACGCTACTTTCACTGACCAACAATATCGATCAGTTGGAAGGCTCTCAACGAAATAAAAAAGGGGATCACCATGCTTCATACTTGAAATCAAATAGGAATTTCTTACTTGTCATAAGTTTAAAAATAATTTTGAAAATAAGAGAAATTTTTATAAAGTGTCCAGCTCCAAAGTATGACAAGCAAATTAAAACATCGATAAATTATAACCTGGCTTCAAGTCAAAGGTATTGGATTGAAGCTCCCAAGATGTACTCACTTTTGACGTTTGGCTGAGCGAGGCATATGAGGCTGGGAGGAAGTACTTCCGTGATACCTCCGACATCTGTGCTCACAACTTGCAACCTGCGAAACAGGGAGCAAATTACCTCTTGCAACTGACACACAACATCGCCGTATGCAACACTGCCACTTGTCACACCCCATCGTACAAGAATATATTGCACTCGTCGTACAGATAGAAGTAACAGAAAAAAGTGCAAGCTTGATTTCGATTCAATTATTTGTATAACGGTGTTCAACCAGTAAACTATTTCACCGCCTGACCAAAAAAAAAAATAAATTAATAATAACTGGTGTTTTTCTAAACCCCAGCAATTTTCGAAAGGCTCGGCAAGCTAAATATAATGTGACGGTACCAGAGCTCTAATTAGTCAAAGGTCCATTTGAAGTTCATGTTAGTTTTTGAGATTTAGGTTTTAATTAAGAGGCATGACGAGCCCGTGCTTCACCCCGCAGCGACGGCCTCGCAGATGGCAATACAGAAAGCCTCAGTGAGTGACGTGTTGAGGAAGACGTGGCCTCGTGCCAGCACTTGAGGCACGTCGGCGTGCGCCACGGGCCCCAGCAGCGTCACGCGCTCTGGCCCCACCTCGTCCCGAACTTCGCTCAGGAGGCCCATTTTTGGCCCGCCACCACCGATCACGAAGTCCACCTGCAAAAAGTGATGAATATTTTAAACCCACCTCATGCAGCAGCGAAATTTTCTTCCTTTAATGGTCGATTACTTGTTATTGAACTTACATTGCACCACGCAACTTTATGCATCAAAACTATTTTTTCATAAACAATCTTTTAATATGAATAAAAGTATATATTCAATCATGAATATATAATATGTGATAGTAACTCTAACAACGAATTCTACAAGGGAGATGGATATAGCACAATGATTGACAGGACGAATTAAGAGCGATACTGCACGTCTCGTGATCAACTCGTAGTTTAGAAACTACTGATCAAAGTGTATAATTATCATTATCAATCAAATAGTATAATGGTTCAAAGGAAAAGTTTTCAATGACTGGCATTATAATCAATGATGCAAATAAATGTTTATATTTCAAGTAGAAGTGTGTTAAATATTGATTATAAGATTTTTAGCAGACAAACAAACAACATGAAGTGAAGTTAAAGAGAAGTGTTGTAAAAAGGATCATTACAAATAAATAAATGTATAGTAGAAGGTATGATGGCTCCAGCACAATATAGTACTACAGTACAAGAAAAAGATGTACTTACGTTGGGGTACCGGGCGCAGATATGCCGTATAATCGGAGGCTGGAGGTCAACACCCTTACGGTACTGCAGCCGGCACATCACCACCACCACCACTGTAACAAATGTTACATAAAACCATAAACAACACTCATTTTTTTAAAGATTTTTCTTTTCTTCAGTTACACACTAACCCTGATGTACATGTAGGTCTGCAAATTACAAATATCAAGAGATGGCATGGACTTATTAATAAATAATTGAATGACTAACGTAGTCCGAACCTCATACAGAGATAAAACAATAGTATTGTTTTCTAAAAAAATATGTTTTTCCTCACGAAAATCGACACTTCAAAGTAGTGTGAAACTACAATTGGATTCTTCTCTCAGAATTGATTTCCTGAAAATATATCAGATTATGTTGTTTGAAAACTTTTGATTTATACTTCTGCACCTTCCAAGGTCATTCTTGGCTTCAACTGACACATGTATTTTGCTATATTTTGTCTGTCATCATCTGAGATTAAAACGGAAAATGGTGTAAACGGCAACAGATGTTACTGACATACTGAAAAAATTTTGTTCGCTTTAGGCATAGTGATATTTTTCGAATTTACACTGCAGTCAAGATTCGAACAAAATATGAATATAAACACATGAACATTGGTAAGATCAATACCGATATTACAGAGTATCCTCCGCGCACTGGTTAGAGGCGTGAAAATCAAACATACAAAATTCAAATGTCAAATCAAATTTAATTATTTTATGCAGGAACAATTAAGCATGCCACGCCCTCACCACGATCACGGGGGCCCGTGTAAGGGCGTGGGTGGAAGGCGTTCGTGTCCAGCGCGTTAGGGATGACAGAGACTCGCTGGGGAGGAACAGACGCCCTCAGCACAGTGTTCTCCTTCCTGCATATAAGAATTAATGAAGATAGTGAATAGTGAATACTATTCATGAAGGTACACCCCTGGAAAAAGTTACTTGAAAAACTTTGAAGGGCATTTATCATATAACTTCCAAGAGGTGCTAATAATGCTCAATGCCCAAACTTCACAATGAATTCATATTCCCTTCCGATACCAATATGCTAGAGGAAATATTCTTGCGATTAAGTCCCACTTCATGTCCGGTTTACTGGTCTGCTAAATGGCATATGAATGGGGTCTGCAACATTCAAGCTCTGAGCCTGGTTGGTCGTTATTACAGGCTGAGTTCCAGGCTTGCTTAATATTCAAATTTATGACCCACGGCTGCACCCATATTTTTATGCAGATATATCAGATATGGGATTTATTATTCAGCCCTGGATTAACTTAGATTTTTTAGCAAATCAACTATTTTTGAACATGGGCGACTCTACCAGACTACTCTAACCTCAAAAGTTGTGTATAGTTGATTAATACTACAAATGGGGTGTTCGCCTTTCCTTTCAAAAGAAAGCCAATACTAAGCAAGGAATGAGAGAAAGCTAGGAACAAAGAAAAGATCCCAAATGTCCTAAGCAAACTGAGCAACCAAAAGGGTAGATCATATAAATGCGAACAACATTCTAATGTAACCTGTATACCATTCAACTGCTCTCCCTGGCTGTTTTAATTTCCCTTTATATAACTCATACCCAACGTAGGAGACACAGATGCACCGGTCGACGCATGCCAAGGACATGGTGAGGAAGTTGTTCGTAACGATGGCAGAGACGTCGGCAAAACCAAACAGTGAGTGGTCTGTGAACACTGTCTGCCAGAAAAAACATAGGATACATTATTCACCAAGGTTCCAGTATCAAATTTTATCGCCATTAAGAATTCTATAGACGTGTGAGGCATAAAGAAAATAAGATTGCATAAAAAGAAGCCTGGGTGTATGATGTTTTGTGAATGGTGGTTTCAGCATAACTTTATGCAATGTTTGTGTTACTGAATGCTCTTAATTCGAATGCTGGTGATCTTGGAAAAAAATGTCATTCATACTTTCAATGTAAAATATACCTAGGTATCAAATGCAATTCATGACATAGAACAGAAGTGGAAATTTTGTATTTTTTACACTTTTAACAGACCCAAAGTCACTGAAAACCTAATAGGTAACTCATTATATTTTATACGGAGACGTAAGACAGACAAGAAAATTGATTGTGCACCCAACCCAACCAAGAGTTTTATACAATTCATTATTGCCTTCAACATTTCAGAAACCATCAATTTCAAAAACTAGTTTCAATTTAAAATTCATTTAATTTCGTGCAGCAGGTTTAAAATTTCTTTTCCATCTTGAAATAAATAAATGAAGTGCCCCAGGCATCTGTTTCAATATTAAGCTTCTATCTGTAATGAATCAAACCTTATCCTGTATTTAAATGAATTCATTAACAATAAACTAAATTGAGATGCTTGAGCTGTTGAAATGTAAATTTTGAAAATTTCTATTTGTTCTACAATGATGAAATATATATAATTCTAAAATAATGTGCGATTAAGAATAAAAGGCTTGCAGAATAGAAAAGGCCATCAAGATCAATTCTTGGTCACTATCATTTGAGTGACTTGCATGAATGTCCTTGTATTAGTAGAGAGTCTCACCTTTATGCCCAAGGCTGAAGCCACACTCATGGCCTCGTGAGCCATGGTGCTGAAGGCAGAATGGCCATGAACAACATCAACGCCTTCTCTGAGCAGCACGTCTCTCAGCAGCGGCACAGACGTCAGGAAAGTGGGCAGCACTGACTGGTTGTAGAATGGCTGAATGGGAAGATAATAAACCTGCAAAACAATAATATTTTGTTTTTACAGAAAAGAATTGGAAGTGTTAAAACAAACACAATAACAGAAATAGGCATAGGCATAAATGAAATAATTTGTTGAGTATTTGATGCAAAAATGCCAGTTTTGCTTAGCAGTATGAAGTGCTGAAAAGTATAATCTTCAGGCACAGTAGGTTTAATTAAACAAATGATGCATATCTTTGGCTTCCAAATATGTAGGTATATATAGATGTTGTACTTTCAATTTGGCCTTGAGATTAGACCAGGAATAAATCTGTACTATTAGTTTAAAATTTTATGCTTTTTTATTCTTCCATAAAATCTATATATCAGCTGGCACACATCATCTCAAAGCCACTTGCCCTAATGTCATGTTTTTCCAATATTGATTGCACTTGTTACAGATGTTACTGAGACACTGACAAAAATTTTTTGGCTTTAGGCTGATATTATTATTAGTCATTGATCATATATTATTATTGTCTTAATATCATAAACATAATGCACTAAATCATGCCAGCTATGAAAAACAACTCAAACCTTGAGACCATTTGTCATGTATCTGATGCCTCTTCTATCCTTGTAGACATGTGTGACCGCCACAACCTTATGACCTCGCTGCAGCAGACACTGGGAAAGCTGGAAAATGTGCTCCTCCACACCCCCAACATTAGGGTACAGGAAATCAGATACCATGCTGAAAACATGTATAAAAATTAGGTTTTTCTCAGTAAAGAAATCCAGTAATTATCTTATGCAGTAAAGCAATCAGTAATTATCTTATGCACTCAAATCACAGGGATATTGCAATGCAAATTCATTTTTTTTAGAGTGAACATTATTATCCATTAGAATATTTTGCAATATGTGAATGAATGGACACAATTTATATTGGTTAGAGTGTATATATATACCTATATGCGTATATACCATCAAATGGGCAATAAGGAACAGACAGGGTAAATCAGAACAGTCCTACATTTCGTAGAAATGTTGTAACGGCTAAACTAATTTAAATAGGTACCCATTGCAAAACTAAAAATAGTGGCCTGAAGTTCAACATTTTTCCTATCTACAGTATGTAGCATAAAGCAAGTTAAGAAATCATACATTTACTACCTCTAATAAATACCCGAAAAAAAGTGTGAAAAGTGAGATTTTGGAAAAGTACCTCTGATATGGTCTGTAGCAAAAATAATATTTGCTGTAGTAAAAAATTTTACTTGCATAAAAGTTGCACACAGGTGTTGGCTTAAAAACATGATTGACAGAATTTGCATAGCACATTAAAAAATAAAAATTGGTGGCCATTTCTGCGTGATGGGGCAATAAGGGACAACCCTAAAAATGCTACAGTAGAACCTCAGTTAGCAAAGGCTCTAGTTAACAAAAAAAAAAAAAAAATTAATTAAGAACAAAGAATTCTGATAACATTTATGTTGCTCGGCAGAAAATTTCACTTAACAAAAAATTAATGCGCACTTGGTCATTACAAAATTGAGTAGCACTGGAGCACTCCTGCCATCCTGCTTGATCTAAATGACCATCCAATTCCTAGAATTCCACAATTGTTATGACTGTGATAGCAAATTTGACCTCAACTGAATGACTATCAACTTTGTACATAATATAGAAAGCTATTTTATGGTTAACAAGCCAGTATTTCTTTTTTTTTTAAATTTACAATGTTTTCTGTAAAAAATGACTGTCATCTAAAAATAATTGCTAAAATTTGAATCAACAAGAATTTGATCAAACTCATTTACATTATATATAATCACGTGACTGAATCCCAATCTAACAGCTGTTCCATAAAACAGGCTATCGTTTACTTCTCATTCAGTCATGGTTAAAGCAATTGGAAGCCATTCCGATTGCCATTGTTAACTTGAGATACAAAACATCAATCTAATCACGAGTAGAACATTTAAACAAAACAACCTTTGAAATGCCTAAAACATGCCATCTCAGTTGCTGTGTTGTAGAATAACAAAAAGTTACTGTGAATTATGAAGTTATGAATGAGTCTGAAAGTGAGTTGGCAAAAAAATAGTTTGGTCAGTGGCCACCATGATCGAGTCTAAAAATGGCTGATTTGACACCATCATCACCATGCATGATAAAATATACCTACTGGAAATTGGCCTGGATGGGAGAAGCATGGAATAGATCTACTTAGTAAGCCAAGACTGGATTCTTCAAGCCGTGGTTTTATGGATTTGCTAGCTGTGATTCCATTTCTCTGAGCCATGAATTCCATATCTCGGCGCATGAAGAGCCATTTATGAGCCGCAAACTATTTACCAAGTCCTGTGCATGTGTTATCCCAAATCTCTAATTTTACCCTAAAAACAGTCAAACAGCAACAATAACATTTGTCTTTACTTTAGTAGCAGCTGAACACGTGATAATGCAGTCTGACAACTCTTAAATGACTGCAACTATGCAATCTTCAATAAAACATGTTTGGTTGACTTGTTAACATCACGTTCTGCAGGATATTTTGGCAGGAGCATTGAAGTAGGGTAAATGCACTATATTCCAACATTGTGGGTAATTTTGACACTTCTCAACTTTTTCCTTTATATTAAGCTTTATCTTAGTTCCACACATGCATAGATGGTTGAAATAGTGACGTCATACTATTGCGTGCAATATTTCCGCAAAACACTAGGTCTAGCGGGAAAATGTTAAGATCCTCAGAGCAAAGGTCCAGGTCACCCAGTGAGAACATCGAAACACGTGTCAAAGTTCGACCTTGCTCTACCAAATAGTGATAAACTGTTTGTGTAGAAAGAATATTATGGTTTGAGACTTTTAAATAAGTCTGTGAATATATTAGGAATCCTTTAAGTATAATTGTATTTGCTGATTCTAAGTGGTAAATAAATTAATCAATTAAGTTAAGAGACGGTTTTTAGACATATAAAAACTAATTCCGATACAGCTCAGAATTAGACACACAGCGCGTTCCGAGCTGTGTCATAGTCCGATACAGCTTACACAGGGTGTCAGAATTTGGACACAGGGCATTGGAATTACGAAGCGCTCTGTCTGCAAGTCTATGGACATCACACAGTGCATTTCAGTGAAGTCGGAATGAGTCTCACAATATGCCAAATTTAGTCACAGACAGCGTCGGAATTTGTCGATTTTGTAGATTTGAATTCTAAAGGCTTTTAAATAAATATGGCAACAGTTTGTGATGTTTCATAATTGCTGGGGCATAGTATGGTGTTTTGAGAGTGACGTAAAGCAATCAGAACTCGAGTTGCGCATACAGTGATGGTTTTATAGGGTAAACGCGGTATATTCCGACGGGTCGCCTGCTGAAGACCACCACTGCCCTGGATGTAATGGACCATCATGATTCCTGCTTCTGGAACGTAGCCTTCAACACTTCAAGCCGTCCGTATCTAGGCCGTGGGTCGAACCAGCCCTCGGTCGAACGGCCACTTGTCAAAGGACGATAAATTTTGGAACAGAACTATGCTATCTGAAACCTAACCTCAGATGCGGTGAACGTAAAATTACGTAATTTAACGATGCCCGGAAGTCATATTCGATCTGCAGCCTGGTGGTGCACGGCAGGTGGTGGTCAAGGCTGGAAGAGGACAAAGCCGAGTGGTGCACGGCTGATTGGTGTAGGTCCAGAGAGATCCAAGGCGTTCCATTCAGGGCTTATTAGTGCACAAAATTGGTGGTGAACGGCTGCGCTCCCATTCCGACATCGTGGGTAATTCCGACACTTCAACTTTTTTCCTCTATATTAAGCTTTTTCTTAGTTCCACGCATTTGTCGTTGGTTGAAATAGTGACGTCATACTCTTGCGCACCATACTATTGCCAAATCACTAGGTCTGGGCCGCCTGCCGGGAAAATGTTGAGATCCAAAGAAAGACAGTGCACGTCACCCAGCGAGAACATAGAAAAACTTGTCAAAAGTTGTTAGTTGACCTTGCTCTACCAAATAGTGATAAACTGTTTGTGTAGAAAGAATATTATGGTTTGAGACTTTTAAATAAGTCTGTGAATATATTAGGAATCCTTTCAGTATACTTGTATTTGCTGATTTCAAGTCATAAATAAATCAATAGATGATTAAGCTACGAGACAGTTATAGACACATAAAAACTAATTCCAAGACAGCTTGGAATTAGACACACACAGCTCATTCCAAGCTGTGTGCAAAAATTAAAATTTTCTTAATTAAAAGCTTAATAGTTCTTAATTAAAAGCCCAAATAAATAGTGTTCAATATTCAATAGTGTTCTAATTCCAAGCTGTGTTGTATTCCAATACAGCTCACACAGCAATCGCCAATCGGAATTTGAACACAAGAGTGTCGGCATTACGAATTAGTAGAGTTTGAAGCGCAGCCAGAATTAATCTCACAAAATGCCAAATTTAGTCACACACAGTGTCGCACTGTGTTGGAATAGATGGATTTGGTAGGGTAAACGCGGTATATTCTGACATCATGGGTAATTCCGTCACCTCTCTAGTTTTTCCTTTATATTAAGCTTGGTTTTAGTTCCATGCGTTCGTTGATGGTTGAAATGGTGACGTCATACATTTGCGCGTCAAACTACTGCCAAAACACTAGGTCTCGGCCATCTAGCGGGAAAATATTGAGATCCAAAGAGAGACAATGCACGCTACCCAGTGAGATCATCAAAAAATGTGTCAAATTTGACAGTTGACCTTGCTCTACCAAATAGTGAATAACTGTTTGTATAGGAAGAATATTATGGTTTGAGACTTTTAAATACGTCTGTGAATATATAAGAAATCCTTTAAGTATACTTGTATTTGCTGATTTCAAGTGGTAAATAAATTAATAGATGATCAAGTTGAGAAATGGATTTAGACACATGAAAACTAATTCCATCAGAACTTGAATTGGACACACACAGATCATTATATCTGTTAGAACACTAATATTCATTAGTGTTCTAATTCAAAGCCGTGTTGTATTCCAATACAGCTAACACAGCGAATGGAATTCAAACACGTGGATGACGGCATTACGTCATAGTGGCAAACCACAGCTTTTTTAGAATCAGTTCATTTTTAATTTCCTCATTTACCCAAGATTTAATCCAATTTCTTAAGTACGATGATGCTAGTATTCAGGATCCTTTACTGGTCTACTTATAGGACTCAAAAATGAACTTGAGGGAGAGTCTAAAAAAACTCTCTGCTTTGCCACTATGCATTACGTATCAGTAGAATTTGAAGCGTGGACGGAATACACCTCACCACATGCCTAATATAGCCACACACAGTGACGGAATATAGGGATTTGGTAGGTTTGCATTCTAAAGGCTTTTAAATAAATATGGCAATATTTTGTGAGTTTCGTCGTTGCTTACGCGTAGTGCGGTGTTTTGAGAGTCACATAAAGCAAACAGAACTTAAGTAACGCATACGGTTATTTTTTTATAGTTTTTCATTTCTCGATGAGTCCTTAATGCGACGGAATATACTGCGTTTACCCTAGGTTTGCATTCTAAAGGCTTTTAAATAAACATGGCAATATTTTGTGACGTTTCATTGTTGCTGGCACGTAGTGCAATGTTTGGAGAGTGACATAAAGCAAACTTCAGTCTCACAGCCCTGTGAGACTGAATATTACTCAGTCTCACAGCCTCACAGGGACAATCACTATAGTTAATTACTACACTAATATGACATCTTATGATCTTAACATGGTACCTACTACCTAGCCTACCTACCTACCACAGTACCACCTGCCTTGCATTACACAAATTTTCTCTAAAAGTGATTGATAAGATAGCCTAAATTTATATGATAGTTAAATCAAGTCATCAGTCATGACAAAGAATTTTCATGGTGATGCATGTAAAATTAAGATACAAGAGTAATAATATTCTACCGTGCTTGTATGATAGTATGCGGCATTGCAGTTTGACACTCACCATATAACCATTCGAGGGACGTCATTGCTTATTTCTGACATTAACTGCCCGACAAGTAGACAAGGACAGCTACTTATAGTTCCTGAACTCAGAGGGAGAGCGAAAGTCAGCGAACGATTGATCCTGGAATAATCTTTTGAGTATCGCGGTGCTGCGAATTCCGCAAATTTCAATTTTTCCAAAGAATAGTTTTGAATTTGCTTAGAGTCGTAGTCATACATTTCAAAATGTGAACAAACAATTGTGCCAAGTTAACATGTTCGAGATTGGTCATAATTTCAGTAAAAATTACACGTCTGGACATTTTCTTAACACCCTGCAATCATTTAACCTGCTTACATTACTAACTCAGCATGCATCTTGCTTTTTTTTGTCTTCCAAACGCTTTCATGTCGCAACGCATAAAATTTAGATGGAACGGACAGATCGAATGTCAGAAAAGTTATCAGTTCAAATACAATTCTCATTTCTGCGTTCTTTAGCTTTACGTTTGCATCACTCGGGTTTTTAAACTTTTGTATCTAGCTCTAAGCATGCTCATCTAAGAATGCGTTACCATCTGTCAAAGTAATACCCAATGCGTTACCAAAGTAATACTCAATGCTTCCAATCGGACACATTTAACTACCTACACAACTGTATTGCTTTTGCGACTGCACTTCAAATTCTCAAATTCAGGTTCTTGAAAAATCTAAAAGATATTTTTCCGTCTTGTAGACTAAAAACCAAAAAATAGGCCTCAGAGGAAACACATGGAACTAATAATTAATTTCAATTCCTAATATGTTAATTTAAAATTATTCTATACATTTATCATCCCCAACAGCGGAAAATTTTAACATTTGAGAAGCGATTCAATACTAATGTATGTATGTAATGCTCTGAAATGTATGAATCTTACTCGTATTACGGCGAATAATTAGCGTCAGAAATAGTGTACCCTTCACTTTACTACATAAATATTACAAAATATAGCTATGAAAATTACATAATATAGGGCAGAAAGTGGAACATAGCACAGGAAAAATATCGCTTAGGACAATAGGAAGCCTGAGAAAGGAAAGCACGCGAAACGAAAAAACGTGCAATATTCACAAGACATAAAATAAGCTGACTTATTTTATGTTATATGGTAGTATATTTATCGCAACTCTATTAGGCAGACCATAATTACAACTTCTATTATAAGAATCATGCATCAATGCAAGTTCATCTTGAAGTAAGTTCCTTCTTATAAAGAGGTAGCAAAGTGACGATCAAGGTCCATTCATCGATAAATTTACAAAATATAAGATTAAAATTCGTTGTTTAACTTCACTTAAATGCAACCTTCGCGATGATCAAATCTTCGTAAATTAAGACGCGTGGAAAAAAAACTTACAGGTTTGAGGCCCTCGCGATCTTGTGGTTCTCGTAAGCGAAGAAAACTGAACTTAAATGGAGGGAATTTCGACACCGGAAATTAGAGGAAAAATAAAGTGAGATTTCAGAGTGTCTTGATGCAGCAATCAAGTTGAAGTTGAAATAAAATGCCAGCACGAAAAATTGTCAAGAAATTCCTCAGAAGGTCTAATTGCAGATTTAATTAAAGTTTAACTGCTTCGACCGTGTGCGAAAATACCCTCGTTTTAATGCCCTTGGACATCGCTGTATAACTTTTTGGAACAAAGTTTTAACTCAGAGCCTCTCAGCTTCGGTATAATTCTATTTTATTCTGTGAGTGATGAAAGTGATGATTATTATAATCATATTGGAATCTGGGAGAGCATAATAATTAGAAAAATTTGCACAGCAACAGCTAAAGACTGGAGTCGAGTGAATTCCATCGTCTAAGATTTACACCGCAATTTTTCGCTCAACCTTCCATTATATCAAGGGTAAAAAAGGGAAATGAAAATAAAGAAATAAATCGGTTGTAATGTTTGATTCATAGCTTAGCTCAGACGTTATGCAAGTGCGGCATTAATATCAACTTTGAAATGCACTCTGCATGCAACCTGACCTGATATTCCTTCACAATCGCTATTAACGGAATACGCTCTACTTGAAGTCTGCTGCCTCTTGACAACTAGTTAATGTTATATTCTCCAAACATTAGTCCTAGTTTGCAGCACCAATTTTTGTCTAACCCATTCAACTGGCACTTCAAAATTTGCTGTTTGCTGTAGAAAGCCTTGCGTCAACATTGTTTAATCGAATAGACATCGGTCTCAGAAGACTTTCAGTTTCAGTTCTATAAAAGAGATTTTTTTCTTAGGTGACTTCTCTTGTCACAATGGAAATATTATTCTAAAACAATAATGTATTCTCTCAAGTCCTTATCATTTCCTAACTATACAAAGATCCTTAGTAGTCGCTGCTGTGGCTTTGTTCACACTTCCTCACCCCGTTCCTTGAGGGTCAGTTCTGACCTATTCGAGTGAATTTTTTCGTTAGTTGCATTCTGTAATTAGGTCTATATCTTGATAAGAATTATTATATAAACCAACCAGCTATTACAAAGATAAAATATTTGAGCATTGTGCAGCCCAATAGGAAATCTATGGCAGTCTTCTTGCTCGCGTAATATTAGCCGTCAAATTGACATCATTATTTCATGTCCTTTAACTGATAATGAATGAAAATCTAAAGTGACCATTTGGCTGGCACAGTATATTAGAAAATCATGAACGGATAAAAAGTGGCCAATAGTAAAAGGTGGAAAATAAATGGCCAGTAAAACACTAGCCATGATTCAAGCAGCACTCTCAAGCTAGGCCTCTAGGCCTGGCAGGCTGTAGCCAATTAAGAAGCAGCTTTGTTAAATATCCAAGGCAGCTAACTTGAGCTGGGCTCTAGAGCGACCTCTAACGAACCTGCAAACTTTCGTCCTCCTTGCACCAGCTTACAAACTTTCCAATGTTGCACTAGCCCCTCTGACCCCTTCTCGAAACCATCCCTTGCCCCCATGCTACTTCTCCTTCTGCCTCCCTGCTATTTATTTTCAAAGAACACACAATTGGTAGAATACCACGAAGGGGGAATCAGTAGGTAATTCATTGCTAACCAATCCAAGCAGCTGTCTGAATTTCGAAGATTTATTGTCAAATATTTCACCTAACGTCCATAAGGTTGGGGCTGTCTTAATTGTAATGGTGATGTACTGCTGAAGAAGCAGGTACTTATGATTTCAGATGTAACGCAATCACTAGGATTTTCTCACAAGAACTTATCAAGAATGCGAAGATTTGGAACAGTATCGAAGTTCTTTATCGCAAATTAACTGAATATAAGCATAATGACATGTCGTCGTGTCACACATTCATTCATTCAAAAAGAACAAATAAATCGATACTATAAATTCTATCAACCCTGATGGAGAATTAGGTTCCAATTAATTGACGTCAAATAGCGTGGCAGCCGCTCTGTCATGTCCTAATCTTTTGACAGGTTTACCAAGGTGTGAGAGCAGGAAGCGTTATGATTGTTCAAGTTCATCCAAATGTTCGTAGTATTTTTGCCTGTGAATGGAACAGGCTAATTATATTTTATTTTTTAGTATTTAGATGATATTCAAGAAGCAAATATTTTGCCTGGAATTGTGTCGCCTACTTGCACGTGTAACAATACCACGACCTTATGACGAATTTACTGCTATGTTCTCAGATCCTACAAGGTTGAGAACGACATGGTCAATTTATAGTCAATGTGAATATAATAAAATTGTTCTTTCAGTAGTAGGCTAGAGCTATTTTAGTGTAATTACGTTGTATTTAACTTTGGCTAAGGCCTTAAAATTCTACAAAATACGAAGCTTTACGAAGAGATCCTTGTTAATGGCGCAGGGACCCCGAAAGAATTTCGAAGAAACACTTAGATTCAGATCCGCATTCAGATTTTGATTTTGACTTTACGTCCTTGTCCTCGTCGTATTGGCACCTACGTGAAATCGACACTTTTAGACCCACTTTCGTACTTCCAGCCCTGCTACGAAGATGAAATTTTGGCCCATAATAGAGCCTGATTTTAGATTGACGAATCAAAAGTCGGATCCCCAAAATTCCCCATGGGGAAGACACAAATCCCCAAAAACGAATAATTTTTTCAAAAATTCACCAAAAATCAGCCGTTGCTTGCACGCGCCTCTATCTTGGCTCCTTTTCTTCTCATTGGTTGGGGCA